TTCAGAGAACACCAAGTACATGAGGCACTTCCTGGAGCCCACTCCACCCCCTATCAGAGAATTTATTGCTGAAATTTGGTCTTTTAGCAAAGCAGGCTAAAGCAGCCTTTGAACAGCAGTTAAAATCCAAAGTCAGTCTGACTCTGTGTTCCACCAGAGACCAAAGGAGGTGGTCACTTTGGCTCTTCTGGATGTAGAAGCCACGTTCTGTGAATAGAATAGCAGATGTCCTGCATGGACACTGGAGTCTGGCCACCAAAGGCATATTTGTGATGTCTTCATTTCATTCGTATTGTCCAACATACAGATATTGGTGCTCTAAAGGGTTTCACTTATCCAGAAAGGGTGGAGGTTTGCGTCCAGGGTTCTTCTGCTTGAATAACTAAATTCTTGAAATAAGTTTTGTTTCTATTCCTGTGCTTTTTTTTTTTTTTTTTTTTTTTTTTTTTTTTTTTTTTTTTCAACCCATCTAAGCTTCTACTTGGAGTCTGGCTTCTGATAGGGTTTCTGTGTTTTTCTTCCAGCTTGGGTGGTTTGGGCTGTGTGCAAAGGGCTAGCATGTACCCTTCTGTGGGACAAGATACTCCAGGCCTTCGTGGAATTTCAAGGCTTGAGAAACTGTGGTGATGTGCTGCATCCTGRGAGGAAGTCTGCCTGGTTGGGGACTTCCTTGTGTGCTGCTTGRAAAGCAGTTGTGTGGTTTTTATTTTCTGAACCCCTATCCTGCGTCTCCTTCCTTCCCAGAAGGCACTGCTGGTGAATGTGAAAGTTTCATTTGTTGTTCCTCAACTTGGGGTAGGTTGTTTTTTTTTTTTTTTTTGGTTGGGTTTTTTTTTTTTTTTTTTTTTTTTTTTTTTTTTTTTTTTTTTTTTTTTTTTTTTTTTTTTTGGAATATTGCAGTTTTTTTTTTTTTTTTTTTTGGAATATTGCAGTTTGTGTGACCGAGGCCTTACTGGGCTCCACATGTGGGGCTCAATTAACTTTTGCTAAAGCTATTTTTGGTTTGACACAAGAAATGTCAGTGCCACATAGTACAAGCTGATGAATTGCTGTGTACTGTACATATCCATGAGGCTGGGATCTCATCTGGGTGGTGGCATCTTGCCAAATACATTTCAGTTCTGTTACTTCATACTCTTTTGAAAGGCCCCTTACGTAGCCTGAGACAGCTACCACTGTGCTGGACTTCTGCTTAAGCTATTTGTGAACTGATATCATCGTGTTGCTTTGAGAACTATGTTGAAAGTTTAAGCTTCAGAATTCTGTCTGAATATTTCAGACCTTTCCCTTTACATTCTTCTAGCCCATAACCTGGACAAGATCCTTATTTACAGAAGAAAAATGTCTGGCACTTGGTGTGGGGCGCAGGGAGGAGAGTGCTGCAGTTTTTCATGCCTTGCCAAAATAGACAGTCAAGTTTTGGTTTGATATTGCTTTATCATCAGTTAATTTGTACATCAAATGGGAGAACACTTAAAAAAGAGAATATAAGTAAAAATCAAGCAAATACGCAACTTTTGAGCACAGCTTTTGGCTCAAGATTTTCTGCAAGTATAGTATATTATTGCAGCTGTCCCTATAAAATGACTTTGTGCCATCACAGTATTTTATGAGACAGCTGTAATAGTACAAATTTGATTTTTTTTTTTTTAAAGAGTGGTTTGTACTTTTGCTGGCTGAACCATATGCAGGTGAAACCTGAGAGAGAATTTAATATTCTTGATTATTCCTGGGATTTAATCTTGATCATTCCTGGGATTCTTGCTTTTACTGTGATTCATTGTGTTTGAAAATGAGACATCATCAGTCATTGTAAGCTCTTTCCTGAACCCCCAAAGGCAGCAGTCCTTACTGCACATCGCTTGGTACAGCTCCAGGAGCTGCATTTTCACTGTTTRTGTGTGTGTGAGGTGCTCGATTTTGCCAGCACAGAACATGGCAGCTGCCCTGTGCTTCCCTCTCGCATGTCAAAAATCTCACAAAAGAGCTGAAGGACAYGCAAGGCTTAACCTTGATGGTTCAGTTACTAACTATAGGCTGGTCTGAAATCCGAGTGGCTTCTGCATGGCCCATCTCTGTGGGTAAGGCTCAGGGTGGGCTGGGTGCTGGGGCCCGGCTGCCAAGGAGCTGACAGGTGCTGACACAAATCCCAGGGACCAACGTGTTGCTTTCAGCCTCTGGTCAATATGTGGTTTAGAAATTTGAAGTTTCTCCATATAGCTATTGGAAAAGGGAGAACTCATTTTCCACAGTAAGTCTGGTATGTGTAGAAGTTMAATCAGGCACTGAGCTGTGAAGAAAACAAAATTTGTGTCCAGCTGATTAACCACRGCTTCCGCTGACGTTGAACGAGCTGTTGAGAGCTGGTTCCTGAGGAGCCAAAGGCATAAGCCAAAAGTTTTTCCGCCATGCAGTTGATTTTTATTTCAGGTTTTTCTTGAATTTGAACTACTCACCTTTGT